GCCAGCCTGCGGCACTGCCAGCCCCAGCGGCCAGCGAGGACGGAGAGGCTGGTGGCACAGCAAAGAGGAGGGCAAAAGGAGAGAAAATCCATCTCTTGTCACCAGTCCTGTCGGGGGGTCACTACCAGAGGTCACCAGTGCTGCTCAGGGGCTGGCCACGCTGTCATTTGGGGTTTGTCCCCCGTTGTTCCCCGCCTCAACCCCCCCCCCAACCCCCCTCTCGCGGCTACCCACGTCCCGCTGCGGGGCTGGGGCTGCTCCAACCTCCCTTCTCCTCCGCAGGGGCAAGCACGGGGTCGGGCGCATCGACATCGTGGAGAACCGCTTCGTTGGGATGAAGTCCAGAGGTGAGTGGCCGCTGGCTGGCAGGGGCACCTCTGCCCTAAAAACAGCTAAAAAAGGGAAAACCCTGGTGGGACATGGTGGATGCTCAGCATTGCCGGGATGCTCTGGCTCAGGCCATGCCAGCAGCCATCAGCTGCTCCCTTCCCATCAGCTTTTGACTGAGATTTCCCTGTGACGGGGAGTTCTCATTGGTCTCTAACGAAGGCAGCCGCCTGCTCGCTGGCAGCGTCACTGTTTGCTCCAGCCCTGGGGTCCCAGTGCCACCGGAGACCCCGGGTCTCAGGCGAGACCTGTCCCCAGTGGGGAAAAATGCCAAGCTGTGGGCTTGCTCGGGAGGATGCTCGTGGGAGGTCCCGGAGAGCGCGAGGCTGTGTGACACAGGTACAAAGCGCAGGAGGCCAATGCAGGTCACCGAGGGTGTTTTTTTAAAGCCAATTCTTTGATTTATCTGTGCGTTTTTGAGGCTGTGACTCTTCATATTGATCATCCATTAGGATCAGCTTCATTGGGAATCTCCGGAGGCAGCAAGCTGCTCCGCGCAGAGCTAAGTAGTGAGGTGGCTCATCATCATTTCCCATCCCCTTGCCCCTGCTCTTTTGTTTTAAATCTCGTTAATACCTAATTAGATGCTCCCTTTCTTTAAACTTGCCCTTCATGCAGGGTATCAGCAAATATTTTGATAAGACTCAGCCCGGAGTCTCCCTCCCCACCGCAGGGCACCGACCCCTTTGCAAGAGCCTCAGCCACGAAAGGCGAGAAACAAAACCCCAAATCATTTGATCTGGGTTTGAATAATCGAATTAAAACCGAAAGAAGGAAGAAAAAAAACCTCAACCCCAAACCACACGCATCAGCCTGCGCATTTGCATGCAGGATGCTGAGTAATTTGTCAAAATCTATTTTATTTTTTTAAGAGCCACTGACACGCTCTAGTGACCCTTCTAGCATTTAATAATTTCTCTAAACCCCATTTAACTGTCATGTCTGTCTCCCGTGTGACATTGCCGAGCGCTCGCCGCTGTGTTTGTGCGCCGGCAGACGCGGGAGGACTGGGCTTGCTGGGGACAGCGGGGGTGGGCGCTCCCCGGGGACGAGCCCTCGCCGGCGGGTT